AGAGAGAGAGAAGAGAGAGAGAGAGAGAGAGAGAGAGAGAAGAGAAGAGAGAGACAGAGAGACAGAGAGACAGAGAGACAGAGAGAGAGAGGGGGGGTGCCTGGCGGAGGGAACAGACAATGGGGGAAAATACAAAGAACGAAGGACATCGCTTATTATACAGAGTGTCCTATGTCTTCCTTGAGGACTGCGTATACAACGTGGCCATTGTAAACTTTTAAATGGCTGGAACATAGATCTACTTCTGCAAAGGGGGGAAAAGGTGGGGGGGGAGGGGAGGTTGTATTTCTTCAAATTAAATTAAAATAAATCAAAATTAAATTAGATGGTTAGAACAGAGGGGGTTTTTTTGTTTGTTGTTGGGGTTTTTTTTTGGTCGGTGAAAGTTTTACGGCGCTCATAATTCACAATTAGATCTAGATCTAGACAGGTTGTATGACTGCACGAATACTGTTTAAAACTCACTCAAAGGGTGTATCTTATGACCTAGATCGACCGCTTCTTGTATTTAGACATTCTGCTCGTCTATGCATAATAATGGTGGATGCGGGTGTTGGCGGGTGCTCTGGTGTGGTTTGCTCCTTCTTTCCTATCAAACATCTATCTCCCCTTCTTCTATTTTGAGTGTGTTACTCTCTTGTCCTACCACCCTGGTCTTAGTCTTACTTCATGACGTCAGGCTCGGCCTAAGTTTTATTTTTATTTTTTTGGTTTGGTTTTTTTAAAATGTTCGTTACTTGTTTTGTTTTTTTAATGTTTTACGGCACTCCCAACTGCATAATAATACGTTCATATGACCGCGAGGGACACAAAATATTTTCAGTTGGTAGGAAATTTTGAATTTTGCCCGGGTGGCAGTTGAAGCCTACTCTTATAGAGTTTGGACCACAAAGGGATCTTTAACGTGCGCAACTTGCACACTGGACCTCCGAGATTTTTCGCCCTTGTCCGAGAGGGCTAGGTGTAGATCTAGATCTTTCCTACCAGAAGATCAGGGGTGTGGCAGAAAGACAGCGGTAAGAAGGAGCCAAGGATTAGCAGTACAAAAGCTGCAGAAAGAATCAGGAGCCCAGAGGAGGGGGCAAAGGGGGTGAGGGGGTGGGGGAAGACAGTGGAGACAAAAGCAGGCGACAGAACGTTGCTAGAGAGCTGAAAGGAGGTAGAAGGAGACAATTTTAGGGACTAAAATATTGTCACTATTCCGATTCGAACCCTGGACCTATTGAATGAGAGGCGAACACCGTAAACTCTAGCCTAGGCCACGAGAGCCCTCGAACTCCACGCCAGTTTGAATTTGAATCCCGCGCCACTTTTTTTTTCTCACGTCTGCCAGTAGTGTGCCTTCGTCATACTCACGGGTAGTATGGCCTGCGTGCAGAGAGGCGCAGTGCGCAGTGCGGTGGCTAGTGGCTAGTGGCTAGTGGCTAGTGGCTAGTGGCTAGTGGCTAGTGGCTAGCTAGACACCGAAGCTGTCCATCTAAAAAAGACTTTTGATGCTGGTTTTTTTTAAAATCGACATTCTAACCCCCTCCCTGTCTCTGT